TACTTCCAGTGTGGATCGTTTTGCATTCACTGAAGTGAATTTGTCTTCATGTTATTCCCTTGATACTGTTTCTGTTTCTATAATGTACACATTAATAAATAATAATAATAAAGTATAAGCTTTATAATTATAATAATTTTAAGCTTTCTGTATAAAGCACCTCTCTAAACCTGAACATACTGTAGTCTTAAGTACATAAAAACATAAATAATAAATAAATAAAAAGGAAATACAGTTCATGATGAATTGCAAGGCAATCAGAATGGCAATATTTTAGATTTGAAGTGTATTCCATAACTGCATGAACAACAGAAAAAGAACGATCACCAAAAGCCTAAGATCCAGTCCTTGTGACAGTGACCAAAGCTGAAGAGCCTACAGGAGGGAGTGCAGACATGAAGGAGATCAGAGATGTATGATGGAGCCAGATGATTTGAAGCCCTAAAAGTCTTCATAGCACACAACACAGAGTTTGTTCACATGGGGTTCCAAACACAGGAGAGCATCAGGTGTGACTCCCAGATTCCTCACTACGGCTGACTTGTAAATGAGGAAGCCATCGGCCATTATTGTGAAGCTCACCAGTTTTTCCAGCTGATATTTACTGCCCACCAGTAACATTTCTGTTTTGTCACTATTTAGCTTCAAGAACTTTAATGTCAAGCAGAGATTAATTTAGCACAGAGACGAGATAAGTGACAGGAGCAGGAGATCAGAAGAGGAAGAGGTTTCAATATAAATATAAGTATCATGTGCATAACATTGAAACTAAAGACTACTGTATGTTTGCATACAACATGAGCAAGAGGAAGTGTATAAATGACAAAAAACAATGGGCCCAAAACTGACCCTTGCAGTGATTAACTGGGGCCAAGGGAAACACAATGCTGCCTGCCAGTCAAATATGAGTGGAACCAATTAAAAACAGTACCATTGATGGACAAGATGCGTGTATGTTACAGTAATATACTGTATAGACTATTAATAAGTGTATAATGTATGCTAATATAATATATATGTCACTCTTTTGCTCAGACATTCATGTTTACCCTCTTACACTAGACCATGCATACACTACAATACAATACACTAGTATTGTCTACAGTACATTCAGTAAGCACAGTAAGCTCAGTGATGGGACTGTTTGCAAAATTCCTCTCCTTGTCCTCCTGATCATGAGGACTTCCCTTCAAGGGGAACAATGTGTGAGACAGCTTTCACTGTCCTGTGTCTCCTAGATCTCCTCAATGGCCATGGAAGAAAGAGCTCCATGCCACCGCAAGGTGAGCCATGTTTCTCCTGTGGCACTGCTACACACACCAACCCCAGGGAGTTCTGTACAACGTGCACTAATATGATTGAAAAAGATACTTCAATACCATCCTTATATTTCTCCTTGTGTATTAAATATTACATTTATCCTGTTTATTTAACATTATTTTTAATATTTACTTAGGAGGCTTTAAAATGTTTTAAACATTTGCTGAACAAAAGGCAAAGAAAATACACACTGTAAGCACTACACCCACATTCAAATCATTAGGTGTGATCATTGTAGTTGACAGCTAAGCATATATAATTAGTGCCACACATACCAAATGTATGTTTGTTTTACAACCTTACTCATCCTGTTGTCACTTAATGTTGATCTACACCCTTCTTATTAAGTATTTAACTTTAATGTAATTGTATCTTTTTAAAGAAATAAGCATTTCTTATAAATTTCTAAATGAATCTATATCTCATGTAGCTTTTGGTGCATTAGCAAGGTAATATCCTGAAATATTTCAGTAAGCTGAATAGTACTGTATGCTTTACTGGTCTTCAGTAAACAAACGCCACCTGGTGGCCCTGTGCTGCAATGGAAACAAGTCGCCTTCTGCTCCAGTATTCAAAGGAGTGGGACCTTGAACCATGAAGGAAGGTAGAAAAGTTGGTGAGGCACAAAGTAGTCACACAGTATCATCCTGCAGCTCACTGGTGTGAGCCTGGTCAGTACCTGGAGGGGAGACTCCTGGGAAAGCTGAGGTTGCTGCTGGAGGTGTTAGTGGGGCCAGTAGGGGGGCACTCACCCTGCAGTCTATGTGGGTCCTAATGCCCCTGTATAATGGCGAGGACACTACAGTGTAAAAAGGCGCCGTCCTTCAGGTAAGACGTGAAACGAGGTCCTGAGTAGGTGTGTTACCCCAGTGTCCTGGCCAAATTTCCCCCAGGCATTTACCAGTCATGGCCTCCTAATAATCCCCATCTCTGAACTGACTTCATCACTCTGCTCTCCTCCCCACTGAGCGCTGGTGTATGGGGAGTGTACTAGTGCATTCTGGAAGCTGTCACATCTGTCACAAGTAACAATGCAAGGAAGAATAAAATATATAAAATAATCTACTTATAAGGTGCTTATTCTTCTACAACTCAAATAAGTTGTCACTGTTTGAAGCACTACAAAATTATGGAGTTTCAGAAAGTTTCAGAAATATTGTATATATACCTACTGTATATAGATACACACATACTATACATAGTAACTTCTATATAACCTCTGTCGAGACTCACACTTCTGTTTGGCCCAGAGACATGTCTTCACCTCAATCACTCAATAAGACAGTTTAATATCCTGGATTGGTCACAGTGTTTTCATCCTTTGCTATGGTTTAATCTATGACTTTTCAATTTAACATACTTTCAAGAAGTTTTCTTTCTTTACTAAGCTGGATCTTGGAAGCAGCAGGATATACTTTAACACATGTATCTAAAGAAAGCTCACAAACGTACACCACTCTATACACTTCATTCATAAAATTCTACCAGATAAGGAAAAGAAAAGTCTGGGGCCTTTTCTGTTTTCCTTCAGTGGATTTTATTTATAATCAAACCTGCCAATAGACTGTGATTTTAAAGTTAAGTCTAAATTTTGAATCCATCCTGAATTCAATTACTGAAGTATAAGATAAGATCATTTTATTGACCATATACAATTTCTTGTATTAGGAATGTGTCTTCTCACATACAGTACCCCAGCTTGCTCTCCATGAGACACACAGACAGGGAGAGAGCCTGGGATCAGAGTGCAGGGTCAGCCATTGTACGGCACCCCTGGAGCAGTTGGGGTGAAGGGCCTTGCTCAGGGGCCCAACAGAGTAGGATTCCTCTGCCGGCTGCAGGATTTGAACCAGCAACCTTCCAGCCACAGGCGCAGATCCCAAGCCACAGAGCCACAACACCGCCCCCCAACTATGGAGTGAAGCTGTGTGGTGGCTCACTCTTGCACCCTGCCAGAAAAGTCTGTAGACTCAGGAGGCGGCTCTTGTTAGCCAGGTCCCACCTGGTGACTCATTTCCAATTCAAACTGGCTTTGCCTTGCAGCTCTGTCAGCAGCATCAGCTGGAGGCATTTATTTACTGGGATTGGAGTAGCACACAGGCCTGGCATGATACACCTAGGAGCTGTGATGAGTTTCCACATACAGGCACTGTTCTATTGTTCTGTGGGTCACGCTGCAGTTAATATTTGACCACGCAACCAGTTTAGCATTTGCTAAAGTGAGAAGGATTCCAAGATAAACTGATACATAGTCCTACATGTTGTGAATTTCTTCCACACTGGGTTTATGTAAGACAGTATTTTACCATGTTTGATCATATTTTAGGTTTAACAAAGAAAAAGAAAAAATAATGACTGCATACCATAATATTTGGTAAAATAGCACCTGAAAGAAGATATACTATGTCACATATTTACAATATTAGAGATTATAATGAGAAAGAAAATTATTCTTATACCTGAAAATAACTGTTCCCTGTCTAGATGGGTTCAGTACATTAAACCTTAAGGTCGGAATTCGTTGAGAAACAAAATAACTGAAACGTAATAATGAACATTTATATAGTCTCCTCCCTTTTCATATTCATAAATGTATACATTTTCCTCAGTTTGAATGTATATAGTTAAAAAGTTATAAAATTGTAAAATACTAGGGGAACAAACAGGAATAGACAATTTTTGCTTGTGATTTATAGTCGGAAGTGTACTGTAAAAGTAAGGCTGAATATTGGTGGTTTATATGTAAAATGGTTTTGTTTTGTTCTATAAAATAAAAAATAAAAAAAAGAAAATAACAGTTCCCAACTGTCTTACACATAAAAATATCATTCAAATAGACTTTGATATTCTTATGGAAAAAGGAAACACAAAAAGACAAAAGAAAGTGACCTCATCAATCCTGTTAACTAGAAGATTTGCTACATGCCTTTTCTGTTCATTTCAACACATTTGTATTCTCAAACACAATGTTTTGTCTTTATAAACAATATAATTTCTCTAGTAACTATGGCTGACATTTATTTTTCACACTTTAACCTCATTTATGATAAGGACAATAAAATAGTTTTGTTTCTTACTAAGCATCCATTTGTGATTTGTTTTTACTGAACCACCATATAAAAATGAAAACCATACAGTATAAACATACATGATAATTTTAGTAACCATTTAATTTTTTTCGACACCTACCTAAAGTCTGTTAATATTAATGCAATGTACATGTCTTTAGGAGTGTGCAGTATTATGTTGTGTAATGCCTCTGCACATTTATGGGTTGTAAGCTCATAGTGTAATTCATGCTAGTTATTATCCTGTAATTTTAAATCCAAAAAATAACTCAAGACATTATCAAACTTAGTCTCCAAAAATGAACTTAATCTGATTGATGCAAAAAATGCAGGGAACCATATTTATAATATAAGTTTTTATCATACTTAATTTGAATTTAGGTGAAAAAATGTTCAAGGAAAAAATTCAAGAGCAAAGCTTTCAGACAAACATTGAGACGGAATTACTCTGGTAGCCAGATATCATATCCCTACATTTGATAAGGTGCCAAGTTCAACCCTCTGCCCCACCTTCACCTCTGACTTCAAGGAATCATGGTAGCTCCTCGGCTATGGTGGTATAAAACCCAGAGCCAGAGCCCAGGTGAGACTACCCTGCTTCTGACAATCTGATTGACCCACTGGGAACCATGGGGACACGAAGGGGAATGTCCACATGGGTGCTGATGTGGATGATGATATCCATTGGATATGGCTCTATGCAGAAAGGTAGGCAGAAGACATCTTCACTATACGAGCTCAGTACAGGATAATAGTGTATGAACTGATCAAATGATTAATTGATTGACAAACAGGGTTTCAAGAATGTGACTGTACATGATCTAAAATACATCTTTGTCAGAATTTCCTTTGGGAGCCAGTGAAACATCTTTGATTGACTGGGCAATATTCATGCCTTTGAAACATATTCAATCCACAGCAGAAATAAGGAGGGTTGAAAATCTTACTCTTAAGTACTTTCTTTAGTATTAGTATTTTCTGTGAATTTTCTGACAATTCATTTGTTAATACTGAAATATCTGTGGACTTAAAAACTCATTAAAATGTTCATATAAGAATCTGTTCACTAAACAATGGAGTATGTGTATATTTTTGGTATACATACCAGCTTTATGTGTGTCTCAACTGCAGCAAGCCTGACAAAGTCCAGGATCACAGACCCAAGGTGGTGCCCACGGGCTCTGTTGCGCCGTTGGTTTTTGTCACAGTTGTGTTGCATCTTTGTCAAGGCTGCTCATTTTAGAATAACATGACATCTG